AATTAAAGAAGCTATTTTGATTTTAAGTAAGCTTTAGAGGAGATATTTTCAATCCTGAATTTTCTCAGATGGTAAATCTATTCTCATCCCCAGCTCCTCTATCCAGCAAAAGTACTCAAAGAAAGAAATGGCCTCAGGTCCAAAGATCAGATTCAGAACATTACTCCCACTAAAACTTGCTCTCAAGGTGAAAATAAAAGCAAAGGCATAGCTGTAAGACCCTTTATTAAAAGTTCAAAAAGATTTAAGGCAGTGCCTCATAGAACCTCTCAGCTAGATGGCAGGACTTCTAATAATTTCAAGGGCCTTGTCCCACAGCATCCTGAAACTGATTTAGATGACAAGATCCTGGACTTCAAGCCTGAATTTGATGCCACAGTGGGATGAAGTATTTTGGAGAGGGTTAATGTGCTTTGCATATAAGAGGAATGTAAATTATTTGTGGCTAGAGAGTAGACTCTGGTGGATTAAGCATGGCTGCGGACTCTTTGCAACTCCTCCCATTGAAAGGTGGAATCCACTTCCCTTCCCCTTGAATCTAGACTAGGCTTTGACTCTTTTGGCCAATAGATTTTGGTGGATGTGTCACTGTGTAGCTTCAAGCCTATGCCTTAGAAGAGCTGCGGCTTTTACTTTTGTGCTTGGCATGTATCATCTTAGAACCCACCCACTATGCTGTGTGAGGACACTCAAAGAGCCACATGGAGTCTCACATTAAGGAATTACCAGCCAGCAGTTAGCACCAACTACCAGCTTGAGGAAGGAGGACATTTTGTACCTTCCAACCATCTGGAAGGTGTGCCAGCCAACGCTATGAAGTAAAAGAACCTCCCACAGAATCTCAAGAAAGAAAACCTTTTCTTAAGCCATTAAGGCTTGGAATTTGCAGAACAGTTAGCAAAAACCCTTCCATCTCTATTGCTGCTGAGTTCTTGCCTCTCCCTAGGATAGGCTCTTATCATCCTGAATACACCCTAAAAGTTTGAATGGTTGGGGGATTTTTTTTTTTTTGCTGCCTTTTTCATTTTTGTACATTTAATTATTATATAACTCTATATTGTGCTAATAATCGAAACTGTGTAAGATACTATAATATCATAGGGTCAAAATCTGAATCCATTTGACTCCTACCTCTCTGTGGAGCTAGGTGGTAATGAATTTTAATTTCTTTGACTATTTTATTCTTTGCTTTCTTTTTAACATATTGTAAATTTTGCCCTTATTATTTCTCACCCACATGATTGAACTAGCCTTTCAGCTGTTCCCTTTGCTTCTAATCCCTCCTCCTGCAATCCATCCTGCATGTCTCCATAGCTCAGTGACTCACTGTCCTACTGCCTCACATTCCTGAGTCTCTAAAGCCTTCTTGTGGTGATGGTAACTGTTACTTTGTAGTCTGCAGAGGGGATAGAGCATCCTAGATGTCTAGTGCAACTTTCAAGAAGACTTAAAAGATAGGCACTTTTCTGAGACACTTTATTGCCAATGTATCCTGTCAGCTTTCTCCTCCTGGGGAGGTTTGAGGGGGAAAACAATTTCTGGACCCTCCTAGACCAATTAACTTGCTCTGTGGGAGTAGGGCCTGGGTTTAGGTTTCTTTTAAAAGTGCCCCAGGAGGTTTTAAGGTGAAGCTGAGATTGAGAATCACTGTCTCAGATTTGTGATTCTAGAAAAGTGGTCCTTGGACCCACAGCATCAGCCTGAACTAGAAACTTGTTAGCTACGCAGTTCTTGAGACCTACTGCCTACCTTACAAATCAGCAGCTCTGAGGGGTGGACTCATCACTTCATGTTTTAATAAGCTCTTGGTGATTTTTATGTACATTAATACTAGAGAACCACTAGAGAAAAATCTTACTGAAGTGTGTTTGTTACTTGAAAATCACTGTACTGACAAGAGCTGAAAGAACTGGAAAGGGACATAAGGAAACTGGTGTATCATGTGTTATTGCTGGTGATCATTTAAGTACTTGAAAAATGTTTAATGCTTGTCATTAAATCTCAAGAGTTGTTAAAAGAGTTACTTAGTATAAACAAATGGAACAAATTAATCAGAGATACTGTTGCATTGTTTCCTAGAGAAAGAACTCAACAAAAGGTAAATTTAAATTTCAGTTAGATTTGTTAGTCCAAGAAACATCTTGATGGGAAGTAGCGCTAAACATTTTGAAGGGATATAACGTGATTTTTAAATCAATTTTCAATGAGAGTAGTGTGCAGAACCACTGTTTGCAATTGTTCCACGATAATCCCTGCCTGGGGTCAAAGACAGATGTCTGAAGTAGCATCTACTTCTCGGTATATAATGACTCTAAATACCATCTGATCATCATTTGTTTATTTTTTCACTTGCTATTTTGGAAATTCTTTCAAAGTAAAATAAGGACTACTGCAAAGTAAAGATGCCTAACTCGAATGTTGATGTTACAGTCTTAGAGACTTTGGAGTGAAATTGTCAAGTGAATTCATGTGTTTTGAAAAAGCTTTTATGACTTTCTTAATGAGGTTTAAAAGCTGTAAGAATGGGATTAGAACCGTAAAATCCATTACTCTTAACATTTCTTTGGATTGATTTAGTGTGTTTGTATATTAGAAATAGAGATATTATTTTGATCGAATCACCATTGTTTACTAAAATATGGTCTGGAAACAATTTCCTGGACACAAGACAGTATTAAATGGCATAATGACAAAGGATAGCTATGCTCAAACTCTCTAGTTAAGTACTTCATATAGGAAAATTAGCATGGTTTTATATATAGGAATGCTGAGACATTTTATGTATACTTAAATCCAGGTGCTATATATTTAAATATTGTTTTAGTTCAGTAGAAAATATTTAGTAGGAAAATGTTTCACTGAGAAAGTAGATTATATTATATGTAATGGAAGACATTACAGGAAACTACCTTTGCATCCTTATTCAAAAGATTATAATAGAACGCAGTTGTAATGCAGATATTGGGGTGAGTTGGGAAAGAGCGCTAAATAGCTTTTTCTTCAGCTTTTGAGAGATCTAAGACTGTGGCATAGTTAATTGAATTAACTGAGGCCATGTGGTCTGGTGTACATGAGGTTGGAATTTGAGTCTAAGGACTTAGGTTCCAGTTGCAACTTTATTTCTTGCTGGTTTTGTCACCTTTGGCAAGGCAAATTCTTTGGGCCTGCCTTAATTTCTATGCATATAAACATAAAGAGTAATACTATTTATATCAATGGCTTGTTGTAAGTATGAAACAAATTAATGTAAATGAAACATGCTTTGAAGGTAGAAAAACACATTAAATTATTAATAATAAAGTAGAAAGTGTATTTCTAATATTAAAGGAGAACTATATAAGAAGAACCATCATGGCTAAGTAGCATTTTTGAATTATGCAATAAATTCTTTTCTGGCACATTACAAATGCAGCCACTTTAGAAGAATATGTAAAATGTTTCACACATCAGATGTCTTTATCATGGTCAGTGCACATAAATGCAGTTGTGTATTATATATTGTAAGACTTTTATAAAGGCTTGTGAATTGCAGATGAGAAATTTATACTCCACTGGTGCAATGTAATTATGAATTCGTGTACAGCTAGGTTGTTATACACTCTAACTGTGCTTTCTAACCTGCAAAACAATTTGATGCTGGATAGTGATTACTTGTAAAATGGGCTTTGCATATGACTTGGTAAACCCAAAATAAATTTATGCCCAACTTTCTGATATTTGAAATGACAAGTTTACAAGGTTATTGCTAAAAAGATCTTAAATACAATTTGGGGTCAGTACTCTTAGCAAGATTTGAATTACTTTTTTTTTTTTGTGACGGAGTTTTGCTCTTGTTACCCAGGCTGGAGTGCAATGGCGCGATCTCGGCTCACCGCAACCTCCGCCTCCTGGGTTCAAGCAATTCTCCTGCCTCAGCCTCCTGAGTAGCTGGGATTACAGGCACGTGCCACCACGCCCAGCTAATTTTTTGTATCTTTAGTAGAGACGGGGTTTCACCATGTTGACCAGGATGGTCTTGATCTCTCGACCTTGTGATCCACCCACCTCGGCCTCCCAAAGTGCTGGGATTACAGGCTTGAGCCACCGTGCCCGGCTTTGAATTACTTTTTAAAAAGGATCATATCTTCAGGGAAAATGTAAAACCTCCCTAGAAACTTTTTTTAAGGTTTCATAGGCACTAAAAGATAGAATTTTTACACTCAATTAAAAACAAATTCTAGCATTTTACAAATTTTCTTACAGTTTGAATTATCAATATATATGTAATTTAACTATCACAAATTTTTGAAGTATAAATGTTATAAATGGCTTTTATTAACCTCTAAATTAAATCTAATATAAAACTTAGCTATGTTTAATAATTACATAATTTCAACTAATTTCAGCCATATTTCTGAGCTGTATCTGAAAAAGTGTATTAACTTGTCACTTTTTCTAATGAGATTGGTAGGCTGAATTTTAGGAGCACTGAGACTTGTTTGGATAGATGTTTGGTTTTAAATATGGGTACAGAAATCACATGGTATGACAACCCATCTGAAAAATGCAAATAAGAACAACTGTGTATGAGGAATGAGTGAGAGAAATTAACATATGTCGACTACTTAGAAAAGCTAAGTGTTCGTCTAAGTGTTGTAGATACAGAATTTTAAAATATGTTGTGTTTAAATTTCTGCAGGAGCTTCCCTGTAATTGAAAGGAAGTTCAGAGAGTGAATATGGTTTAATGAATGTGGGTGGGGCCCTGTAATACAGCTTTGCCAGCATGTGCCCCAGTGTGAAAAGTAAACTGATCTATGAAAATCTAAGCCAGGCACAGTGGCTCACACCTGTGCTCCCAGTATTAGAGAAGCCAAGGTGCAAGGATTGTTTGAGGCCAGGGGTTTGAAAATCTATTTGCCATATCATGTCTTATGACAGAGAGGGTTTCTGGAGACAGTATCACCAGTTTGTTTGTTTAAATGACTATAGCTATTTCAAGACATTTATGTTTTCTCATAGAATGAAGACAAACACAGAGATGGTGTGTCTAAGAAACTTCAAAAGGTGTAGACCTCCTGACTGAAGCATATTGGATTTATTTAATTTTTTTCATTATAGTAAGTATAAATATTTAAAACACATTATTTTGTTCAATGTTGACTTGTACTCTTGTTGAATAAGTATTCACTCTGTCAAATACCCATTTTCATTGTTAGAGCTATTATTGTTTTCATTCTTTTGCAATTTCAGTTGCATATCTTAAATGAATTTAATTTTCAGGATCTTTGAGGGGGCAAATAAAACATGAACTTAAAGCTGAAAGAACCCTTGGAGATTATCTGCTTCACTCTTTTTATCCATTACAAGCAATTCCTTTGCAACTTCCCTGATGGCTGGTCATTTTATTTATTAAGATTCTGCTCAGGACATGGAGCTGAACTGTTTCACAGAGCAGCCAGTTCGATAACTTTCCACCACAGATTGAATCAAAATGTGATATTCTAAAGCTTCCACCTACCTGGTTCTACCTGGGGAGCAAATCTACTGTTCTTTCACCTGTTAAGTTGTTGCACAAAAATGTAGAGATAAATTCTTGGGCTCACCTAGTCATCTATTATCTCAGCTGAATACCATCAGGTGCCTGTGTTCCTCTGCAGGAAATGGTTTGTAAACAACAGCTTCTGGTTGCTTTTTTGCCCATTTTATCTTTAACCTATACCTGTAACTGAGTATTGGGTTTCAGTATTGTAATCTCACCAGGCAGGCACAGAAGGACTTCTCCTCCTTTATCTGGGTTCACCTATTAATATGGCCAGAGGTTATAATCAGTATTTCAGCACAACAGCTATCACATGATTAGCTGAAAGTATGCATACATGTCAACTAAAATCCTAAAGTATTTTTCACATGTTCTTGCTTTCATCCAGCAGTGTTTTCTACCATCCCTCACACCCCCGGCCATATCTTATTTATAGTATTTTGAGGTCTAAGCCCAGGACTTTCTATTTGTCTCATTTAATACTCTCATTTTGGTTTCTGTCTTACCTTGACACACAAGTATGTAAGGCAGAGAGGTGAAGCAGAATGAGAAGGATTGAGAGTAAGAAATAGATCCACTAAACTAGAGTGAAGGAGAGAAGCCCTGGAGGGGTATATAATCCACCTGCAGGTCCTAGGAAGAAGTTGAATTTATAGAATGTGACGCCCAGAAAGGACACAAGGAGAAAATAGTGCTCCAGTCCAGCAATTAAGCACAGAAGTTATGGAATGTCCTAACAGGTACAAGAGCATGAAGCTGTAGGGTTCAGAGTCAGATGGTCAGGAATATGCTGAGGATGAGACTTATTAACAGGGAGCAGGGACTTTGTAATGCTATTCTAAGGTTCAATGCAGCATACCAGACCCCAGAAAGAGAGCAAATGAGAGGAAAAAGATCTTCCTTGGGGATGCTACCAATACTAGGGTGTCTAGAGAGAAACTCAGCAGGCCCAGAATACATAAGACTTCAGACTCAAGAAAATCCAGGAAAAGCCCTGGTGCATAGGTTAGAGCTGGACCCAGCAAAGGGGGACCATGCTACTGTGACTGTATATTTTTCTTCTTTTTCTTACCAGATATTTTCTAAGACCCATATATTTCCTTTTTACCTTACGCTTTTACCTTACTCTGTGCCATCTTATAGATGATCTGGATTTGACTGATAAGCAATTTTTGTTGATGTATGTTTAAGGCTCAACATAGAAATTCTCAGGAATGTTGTCTGAATACTTTTCAGTATGAAAATAAAAGATAATCTTGTTTTCCTGAAGGCACAAATAATTTAATAATGGAATCTGCCTTAATCGTTTGTCCTTTCACTGCTTTGCCATCCCAACATTAAACACGAGGAGTCCCTTTGATACAGTATTCTTTTTTTTTTTTTTTTGAAACGGACTTTCGCTCTTGTTACCCAGGCTGGAGTGCAATGGCGCGATCTCGGCTCACCGCAACCTCCGCCTCCTGGGCTCAGGCCATTCTCCTGCCTCAGCCTCCTGAGCAGCTGGGATGACAGGCACGCGCCACCATGCCCAGCTAATTTTTTATATATTTTTTTTAGTAGAGACGGGGTTTCACCATGTTGACCAGGATGGTCTCGATCTCTCGACCTCGTGATCCACCCGCCTCGGCCTCCCAAAGTGCTGGGATTACAGGCTTGAGCCACCGCGCCCGGCCTGATACAGTATTCTAGGAGAGCTTTTCTTCCTTATTCTTTTCTAAGCCCTAACTGTTGCTTCCCAACTTTTAAATATTCTTAAGTTTTTTAATACTCATGTACTTAAATTATAAAGCAAAAAGCTCATGCAGAAAGGAGATGATGCATTCAGTGACAGGCTGTTTTGGGCATAGAATCCTAGGTCCCTCTAAGCCTAAGGGGTAATTTTATAAAGTAAAGCTTGCGTAAAAGAGGCTCCTCATGGTGATCAAAACAACTCTCGAGCTGTAAGACGTGGGACGAGATAATGAGCTTACTTAGACATTCTGGAAGGTATAATGTGACCATTAGAAAACAGGGCCCAGGTGTGGTGGCACACAGCTGTAATTCTAGCACTTTCAGAGGCCAAGTGGGGAGAATCACCTGAGGCCAACAGTCTGAGGCCTGTAAGACCCAGAAAGAAAGAAAGGAAAGAGAGAGAGGAGAGAGACAAGGAAGGAAAAGAAAGAGAGAGAGAGGGAAAGAAAGGAGGAAGGAAAGAAAAGGGAAGGAGGGAAGGAGGGAAGGAAGGAGGGAGAGAGAAATGAGGAGCATCAAAACAAGTTCTTTCAATGTGAGTTGAGGGAGGAAGGAAGGGAGGGGGAAGGAGGGAAGGAAGGATAAATTAGTAGCATCAAAACAAGTTTTTTCAATGTCAGTTGAAGAAAAATTGGCTCCTGGTTTTTAGTAGCCTAGCCTGGAGTTGAGATACAAGAGGTGACAAGATAATTAACCTCAAAGGCTACCCCTAAATTTCTTTCTAGTCACCATCTAAGAGACTGTGGTTCAGAGTTCTCATGACCTATGGTTTCAAATGGAACCAGAAGACTTAGGTATCCCATTGATCAGCTCTCCCTTTTAGGTTTTATCCCAGAGCTAAATCCTACTTGGGAAAGAGGGTATGTGTGTATTAGCATTAGAATTAAATGCTTATTTGAGTACTTGGTTCAGTAGTATTTCTTTTATTTTCCTCTTCCAGTTTCTGTACTCCTACAAGGGAAAGTCATGATTACACTAACCGAGCTAAAATGTTTAGCAGATGCCCAGTCATCTTATCACATCTTAAAACCATGGTGGGATGTGTTCTGGTATTACATCACACTGATCATGCTGCTGGTGGCCGTGCTGGCTGGAGCTCTCCAGCTGACGCAGAGCAGGGTTCTTTGCTGTCTTCCATGCAAAGTGGAGTTTGACAATCACTGTGCTGTGCCTTGGGACATCCTGAAAGCCAGCATGAACACATCCTCTAATCCTGGGACACCACTTCCGCTCCCGCTCCGAATCCAGAATGACCTCCACCGACAGCAGTACTCCTATATCGATGCTGTCTGTTACGAGAAACAGCTCCATTGGTTTGCAAAGTTTTTCCCCTACCTGGTGCTCTTGCACACGCTCATCTTTGCAGCCTGCAGCAACTTTTGGCTTCACTACCCCAGTACCAGTTCCAGGCTCGAGCATTTTGTGGCCATCCTTCACAAGTGCTTCGATTCTCCATGGACCACCCGCGCCCTGTCAGAAACAGTGGCTGAGCAGTCAGTGAGGCCTCTGAAACTCTCCAAGTCCAAGATTTTGCTTTCGTCCTCAGGGTGTTCAGCTGACATAGATTCTAGCAAACAGTCATTGCCCTACCCGCAGCCAGGTTTGGAGTCAGCTGGCATAGAAAGCCCAACTTCCAGTGTCCTGGACAAGAAGGAGGGTGAACAGGCCAAAGCCATCTTTGAAAAAGTGAAAAGATTCCGCATGCACGTGGAGCAGAAGGACATCATTTATAGAGTATATCTGAAACAGATAATAGTCAAAGTCATTTTGTTTGTGCTCATCATAACTTATGTTCCATATTTTTTAACCTACATCACTCTTGAAATCGACTGTTCAGTTGATGTGCGGGCTTTTACAGGATATAAGCGCTACCAGTGTGTCTATTCCTTGGCAGAAATCTTTAAGGTCCTGGCTTCATTTTATGTTATTTTGGTTATACTTTATGGTCTGACCTCCTCTTACAGCCTGTGGTGGATGTTGAGGAGTTCCCTGAAGCAATATTCCTTTGAGGCGTTAAGAGAAAAAAGCAACTACAGTGACATCCCTGATGTCAAGAATGACTTTGCCTTCATCCTTCATCTCGCTGATCAGTATGATCCTCTTTATTCCAAACGCTTCTCCATATTCCTATCGGAGGTCAGCGAGAACAAACTGAAACAGATCAACCTCAATAATGAATGGACAGTTGAGAAACTAAAGAGTAAGCTTGTGAAAAATGCCCAGGACAAGATAGAACTGCATCTTTTTATGCTCAACGGTCTTCCAGACAATGTCTTTGAGTTAACTGAAATGGAAGTGCTAAGTCTGGAGCTTATCCCAGAGGTGAAGCTGCCTTCCGCAGTCTCACAGCTGGTCAACCTCAAGGAGCTTCGTGTGTACCATTCATCTCTGATAGTAGACCATCCTGCACTGGCCTTTCTAGAGGAGAATTTAAAAATTCTCCGCCTGAAATTTACTGAAATGGGAAAAATCCCACGCTGGGTATTTCACCTCAAGAATCTCAAGGAACTTTATCTCTCTGGCTGTGTTCTTCCTGAACAGTTGAGTACTATGCAGTTGGAGGGCTTTCAGGACTTAAAAAATCTAAGGACCCTCTACTTGAAGAGCAGCCTCTCCCGGATCCCACAAGTGGTTACAGACCTCCTGCCTTCACTGCAGAAACTGTCCCTTGATAATGAGGGAAGCAAACTGGTTGTGCTGAACAACTTGAAAAAGATGGTCAATCTGAAAAGCCTAGAATTGATCAGCTGTGACCTGGAACGCATTCCACACTCCATTTTCAGCCTGAATAATTTGCACGAGTTAGACCTAAAGGAAAATAACCTTAAAACTGTGGAAGAGATCATCAGCTTTCAGCATCTTCAGAATCTTTCCTCCTTAAAGTTATGGCACAATAATATTGCTTATATTCCTGCACAGATTGGGGCATTATCTAACCTAGAGCAGCTCTCTTTGGACCATAATAATATTGAGAATCTGCCCTTGCAGCTTTTCCTATGCACCAAACTACATTATCTGGATCTCAGCTATAACCACTTGACCTTCATTCCAGAAGAAATCCAGTATCTGAGTAATTTACAGTACTTTGCTGTGACCAACAACAATGTAAGTAAATCCATTCTTTATTCAGTATCTGCCATACTTGTAGTGTGTTACATAGGGAAAGAAAACACACTTCAAATCATACTATGTATTCTCAAGCCAAGCCCAATCCCATCTTGTATAAATTACCAAAACACTGAGCATCCATTTTTAATCTAACTTACAAGTTGTCATGGAGATTTTATGGAAAAAATGTATAAGCATTTGGCACAGTTCCTGGCACATAATAGTTGCTCAGCAAATGTTTTTCTCTTTGTTTCCCTTTCCAATTTCCTACATAAACATCACAAAGTATTTAAAACTGTTTAATTTGTTACGGTAGAGGTTTTTGTTTTATAAAGGTGTTAGGTATTTAGGGAGTTGGGTAAAACTTTTCAGTTTTCCAGATCTGTCATAATAAAATAAGTTTTTTAAATGCTGGCATTATGAATTATTCATAAATTCTTTTTGTGATGTGGTGAGAAAGATTTGAAATCTGCATGCATGTCTAGAAAGATGATTCAAAATGAAAGACCTGCCTCTATAATGCAACACTAGGCCTTCTTAGAAGCTTTATCCAGGATCCATGGTTTAGAATGAACCATAATTTGCAATAGTAAAGCCAAGTTAAAGAAAATTTAACTTTACCAAAAACATGAAAAAGCAAAATAAATGAGTAGTTTCCTAGGTTAAGATATAGAGGAGGAGGAAAAATAAAAAAAAGAAAAATTCATTGTAGTCAAAAGGCAAGAGAGTGAGGCCAGTATCCATTTGGGACGAAAGAGGGAAAATCTGATCAAAAATCAAATCTGCCAAGGGATGAAACTGACATTTCTCTACATGAATATGGGTACAGCTATTCTACCACACTTGAAAATGTATTATCTCTTAGACTTTCTGTAGTTCATATTTCATGGTAATTATAGCTATGACCATGGTGTTGCCTAATAAACATATGAATTGTCAGATATTATTTTTGAAAACCATAAGTGTTAGATAAATACCAGAAAATTGAGGGATGAAAACAAAATTCATGCTGATTTTTAGAACTCTGGGACTTTATTCATATATAAAAAGAGAGAGCCCATTGTAAGGCAAATGAGACATCTTCAGATCTTAAAGGTTTATGAGATTTTAAAACTACATTAGGATTGATCTAGACTAGCAGTGTGATTCAGCATTACCCAAAGGGCTTGCTGAAACACAGATTGCTGGGCCCTACTCCCAGGGTTTCCGATTCAGTAGGCCAAATGTAGGACCCAAGAGTTTACATTTCTAAAAAGTTCCCAGGTGTATCTGATGATGCTGGCCTAGTGACTGCACTCTGAAAATCATAGGTCTAGAAGTATATCATTAGTGCCATTTAATTATGTGTCTGATTAATATTAATATCATGGTCACATTTTTTCCATTGTTAAATCTATAACCAAAAATATATTATTTTGAAAGGCATTGGTTCCACTAAGCAGTTACACACAGTTAAATCACTTTCAAAAATGGATTTTTGGAAGTCATAGCTTATTCAGCTGTTAGCTGGCCATGCATTATTTAAATGTATGAGCAGGTGATTGTTTTCACCAAGCTAATGTAATGAAGAAACCTTGAGACCATTAGTATTTTTGACACCAAGTTTATGGAATCCTAGACCATATCTGAAACAGAGCATAACTGTGAATATCAGAAACATGCTTTCTTGAATAAGAAAGAATATTCTGGAGCACAAGAAAAGTCTTATGCTGAAAATACTTTATAACCAAAGTAGAATGGTATCTTTTTGAGTGCATTGTTCCAGAAACCTGAGAAAAAGTAGTTGCTGAGCATCTTTGGAGCCCAAATAATGAACATGACATCTTTGAATTGGTGAACTTAGGGTCAAAGAAGCACTCTGCAGAGACTATGTAATAACATAAAGAAACTGAAACTCACTCAGAGGACAGCCACCAAGAAGATGAAAACTCTGATAGAATAGTTTAGCCTCATGATGGGAAGTATGGGTGGGTGGGAAGGGAGAATTGCCCACAGTATTGGTCTAGAGATATTTGAAAAATTTACATGGCGAACAAAACTTGTGAATAGCCACAGTGTTCGAACTTAGGGCAAGTGAGGAGAACTGGGGCCAGCAGGGGAAGATTTCTCATCTTTCCCGTGTAGCTATTCAAAGATTGAGCATTTGAGGAGGGAAAAATAATTTTCTTATTAATAAAACTCTCCAGACAGGGACTGGATGCTCAGTAGGAATGTTGTTAAAGGACATTGGGGAATTCATGTTTTGTGTGAGCATTTAACTAATTTCAAGATTATTTCCAACCTTGAGAGTCTCATGATTCTGAGTTAGATCAAAATATTGGATCACAAGGTCAGGAGTTCGAGACTAGCCTGACCAATATCGGAAAACCTGTTTCTACTAAAAATACAAAAAGTAGCTGGGTGTGGTGGTGCCCGCCTATAATCTCAGCTACTCTGGAGGTTGAATCAGAAGAATTGCTTGAACCCAGGAGGCGGAAGTTGGAATGAGCTGAGACTGCACCACTGCACTCCAGCCTGGGTGATAGAGCGAGACTCCATCTCAAAAAAGAAAAAATTAGAGAGTATCACAGTGGCTGCATACATAGTTAGATATATGTATACTCAGAAACTCAAGCCAATTAGTCCATGTGGAATAGTGGTTAGTAAAGATTCCTACAAGAGGCATTTTATTTTATTTATTTATTTTTTGAGACGGAGTTTCGCTCTTGTTACCCAGGCTGGAGTGCAATGGCACGATCTCAGCTCACCGCAACCTCTGCCTCCTGGGTTCAAACAATTCTCCTGCCTCAGCCTCCTGAGTAGCTGGGATTATAGGCATGCGCCACCATGCCCAGCTAATTTTTTGTATTTTTAGTAGAGACGGGGTTTCACCATGTTGACCAGGATGGTCTCGATCTCTCGACCTCGTGATCCACCCACCTTGGCCTCCCAAAGTGCTGGGATTACAGGCTTGAGCCACCGCACCCGGCCACAAGAGGCATTTTAAACTTCTGTTCTCAAGACTTGGGCAGTGTATCAGGTTTATAGATGGAGACAACGACTACCTCAAGCAGAAAAGACATCAGTTGAAAGAATATTAGATATCTCATATTACCACTGAAAAGACTGCAAAACCAAGCTTGGGAAACAATCAGTTACAAAGTCAGTCAGGCAGCAGTGAGAACTATAGCCAGAATCAGGGCGGAAAAGCAAAATGGTGAGGATACACTGTCCAGGTACCAGCACAGAGCACTAGTTCTGTTCCTGAAAATTTGACATTGCTACTGTTGTGACCCTGGGCCTCCCACAAAATAGATTCTTCATGGCTTGCACTTCTTTGTGATGTTAGCCCCAATTCAAAGTCCAAGTCTGAACAGCTGATGGGTATAGTTAATGAATGTCCACATTGCAGCTGTAAGAGAGCTGAGAACACAAGAATCTGATGGTGGTATTTTCTCTAATAGGAAGTGAGCTCAACTACCCACCAAGAGTTACAAGATAGGGAATTCCCTGGACATGGGAAGGTGTTGGGCAGTCGCTGGTGATGAATATTCACTGAGCAGGCACTTCAGTGTGTCTTCCATAGGACAGTAATAGATGTCACCACAAAAAGCATTAAATGTTTCTTTTGATCATATTTTTGCTGCAGGATTCTTCAGAGTCTTTAACATATGAATATGCATTGTGCTTCTCCAAGGAGAGCTGATACGCAATATTTGCCAAATGTGTTTGAGCAAAACACCTTTTTTATAGAGTGACTCTTGTGTTCTGTGAAGCACACCCTATAGGAATACTGGATGAGGGAAGTGTTAAAAGATAGGAGTCATCCACAGAGGATTGAAATAAGCATGCCCTGATGTAGTAAGAGATGAGTTGATTTAGCAAGGTGGGTCAGAATGAAGAGTGCCTGCACATCTGCCAGTCAAATTCATGTTTGAGTCACTGGATAGTGACTAGTGTGAGACTTCAGCTTGAAAGTGCTAGTTATCCTGAACTGGTACCTTCAAAGGAGGCTCTCATTGTAGCATATAAAAGGCTTGGGAGAGGACAGCCAAGAAACAAAACCCCATGGAAGGGTTGAATCAGTTAAGATTGACAAGTGGGAATACAGATTTAAAACAAAGGACAAAGACTCTCATTCCTGAAAGGACCCCTGAGTCGTCTAGTCCAGGGGTCCACAAACTGCAGCCTGCAGGCCAAGTCTACCCACTGCCTGTTTTTATACAGCCCAGGCTAGGAATGGTTTTTACATTTTTAGATGGTTGGGGGAAGAAAATTAAAAGGATATTTTGTGACACATGAAAATTATATGAAATTCAAATTTCAATTTCCATGAATACCATTCTTTTCATTAGTGGGCCTGTATTTCATAGTGGGCCAAAATTATACTCAATTAATATATTTTAAATTTCATCACTTAAAAATATGGAATTTTTTTCTCTTATTATATAAGGACCTACATAATATTTTCACTTTTACCTTTTGGCCCAGAAAGCCTAAAATACTTATTCTTATGGTCCTTTGGAGAAAACCTTTGCTGACCCCTCCTCTAGTCCACTGTCCTTATTTTACTGAGGCTCAGAGCAATTCTTCACCTGAGGTCTGAAGTTTCCTGGCAAGGGGGCTAGGATGGAACCCAAACATCTGAGTTCTCTACTGTTCTTCTACTATGTCTCCTATGTAGACATCCAAGTGATTCTACATGGGGAACAGTGGTATGTGCGGGTAGGCATGGAAAGTGGTAGAAGAGGAGGCAAGATCCATTCCTGTCACAGTGCCAGAGAGTAACTGAAATATGGCAGCATTGATTGTAATGAAGAGAAGCACAAGGCATGGGAAAGGACTGAACTAGGCTTGCTGAAATCTTAGACCAGTCCAGTTGACACCTAGGTCTTTTGACTTCCCCATTTGTTCTTTTTTTTTTTTTTTTTTTTTCTGATGCTAGCTTGAAGACTTTTAGCCAGAAAGTGAATAATGTAGAAATTCCTTCTGAAGATCATTTATGTTATAGTGCATGTTGTTATTTTTGGCATCATTACTTACAAACAGAAATATTCAGCTTTGTTTCTTGAAAGGATTGGACTTTAGGATTTGTAAGCATATCCTGAGATAGCATGTATCATTGGCTAGAAAAAAAAATCTGGTATTGAGAAGGATTCTAAAGTAAGATCCCAGCCTCTGGGAAAAAGTGGAGGTATTTAATTAACAGTGTTGGCGGGGCATGGTGGCTCACGCCTGTAATCCAAGCACTTTGGAGGCCAAGGCGGGCGGATCACCTGAGGTAGGGAGTTCAAGACCAGCCTGACCAACATGGTGAAACCCCGTCTTTAAAAAAAAAAAAAAGAAAAAGAAAAAGAAAACAGTGTCAGCCACTGATGTAAAAGAAAACCATCCTGTTCTGGGGAACTTCAGTTCATTTTGCTGAAGACATTTGGTTGTCAGAGAATTCTAAGATGTAGAGTAATTATATAGCCATTAGTTTTTCTTTTTGTTCTTGTCTATTTTGTAGTTTATTATATAGTTTGTTTTATGTATGTATGTATTATATGTTATAGTTTATTCCATAAAACCATTTTATTTCAGGAGTCTATCAGCCTTATAATAGTCTAAGTTTTCCCATTGGTTTTTTAGAAGAAATCAGTAGTTCACTAAGGTAATTTTTTGCTCTCTGGCTCATGTATCATACAGTCTAAGAAAGGGCATGCTAAATAAATTAGTTTTAAATAAATGTTTTCTAACTTTTTAAATAAAATTTGTTTTTACAAAATTTGTTGACCCAGGCAAAATTGGGGTTCTTGTAAGCTTCAAGGCAAACTATTTTTAAAGCTGTAAGTAGATTTTTCAGGATAAAATTGCTGAGTTGAAGGAATATCTTGAGTCTTTAACAAAACCCCCCAGCCTCCTTTAGAAAAATTGAATGACACTAGGTGATCCTGTGCCTTAGCTGGCTAGAGAGCTGGAGAGAAAGCCCCAGAGATGGACCCTCACACACAGGAGGAGTTACGCCAGCGCAGCAGCTGACTCACTTGCAAAGCAGCAATGCTAAGGGGCTGGCCTGGAGGTGTACCCCCACTAGCTTGGGAAATCCCTCTCCTCCTGGAGCCTGAGAAGTCCACCAAAATCAGATTTAGAGATTTGAAAGGAGATTGGTGGGAATGTGGGAGTGCTGATAGCCAGACAAGAGAGTGAGGGCAGTGGCTTCAGGATCGTCACCCAGTAGGAAATCAGTCCAGTTAAACGAGGTACAGACTGGGAATCTGAAGCTGACTGAAGGGGAATATAGAACTCCCTAATGCAGCTCAGGTTAGGGCATGGCACTTTTCTTCATACCACTCATTACAGACAGTTGGGTAATTGTTTAATGTTTCTCTCTTCCATGAGACCAGTGCTTCTCAACTGGGAATGATTCTGCCTCCCAGGAGACATTTGTCTGGAAACTTTTGGTTGTCACAACTGGGAAGGGGAGTGGCACAGGCAACTGGTGGGTAGAGGCTGAGGATGTTTTTAAACATCCTACACTGACAGAACAGCCCCACAGCAAGAGCTTTTCCACCCAGAATGTCAACAGTGCCGAGGTTGAGATGTCCATGGTGACCTGTGTTAAGCTACAGTTCTCAAAGGCAGTCATTTTAACTCAGCACTTTATCCCAGCAGCTAGCTGGGAGTCTGGCACATCAGAAGGCACTCAGCACGTGCTCACTGAATATAAATGAGCCAAGCCTGATTTCTGTTTTAGCCAGTTTGCCTGAGTTATTTCATAGGCACCAACAAACACTCCTAACAATGAGCACACTGAACAGGACTGATATTTTCCTCCACTTGGACATCACTGACCCTATTTCTGAGCTGCAGATGTCTCTGTGTAGAAGGGTTTGCCTTTCAACGAGGTTGCATTTCTTCTCATCTCTCTCTGCCTCATCTCTCAATATAAGTCTGCATATGTTTCCATCTGTTCTTGAGAAGAAAGTGAAATTGCTGGGCGCGGTGGCTCACGCCTGTAATCCCAGCACTTTGGGAGGCCGAGGCGGGTGGATCACGAGGTCAAGAGATCGAGACCATCCTGGTCAACATGGTGAAACCCCGTCTCTACTAAAAATACAAAACATTAGCTGGGCATGGTGGTGCATGCCTGTAATCCCAGCTACTCAGGAGGCTGAGGCAGGAGAATTGCCTGAACCCAGGAGGCGGAGGTTGCGGTGAGCCGAGATCGTGCCATTGCACTCCAGCCTGGGTAACAAGAGCCAAACTCCGTCTCAAAAACAAAACAAGGCCGGGCGCGGTGGCTCAAGCCTGTAATCCCAGCACTTTGGGAGGCCGAGGCGGGTGGATCACGAGGTCGAGAGATCGAGACCATCCTGGTCAACATGGTGAAACCCCGTCTCTACTAAAAGTGCAAAAAATTAGCTGGGCATGGTGGCGCGTGCCTGTAATCCCAGCTACTCAGGAGGCTGAGGCAGGAGAATTGCCTGAGCCCAGGAGGCGGAGGTTGCGGTGAGCCGAGATCGCGCCATTGCACTCCAGCCTGGGTAACAAGAGTGAAACTCCGTCTCAAAAACAAACAAACAAACAAACAAACAAACAAAAAAAAAAAGAAAGAAAGAAAGTGAAATTAAAGGGTAGGTATTTTTCCTTTTGTTTATATCTGATATTTTGGTGTACAATTATCATCTATATGGAATGTTCTTAGCAGTGACAATCATTAGATTTATTTTTAAAGATATACAGCACTGAATGTGCTTATATAAACTAAAAAAAATGAGTGATGTAGGAGAATGAAGTTTACAACATCATTAACATTTTTTAATGGAATTTGGTCATTTTTTAGTTTATATAAAGGCTATATATCCTTTTGAGGAAAGACAGTTCAGGATGGCCCTAGAAACTTTTCTCCCAGGAGGTCTGCATTAGCCCATCAGAGGATATAGGCCAAGTCCCTGAGTGCCCTTTTTATCCCTGTTTCTAACAAAGCCACTTTGTGAACCAAGGAACCTACATTATTTCATAGTTTGTAGGTGCTTCCTGTCCCCAGCCAATATATAGAGTATTATTATTGGGTGGGGGGGGGGCGGGGAGCAGTATGTGCAGTCTATCTATGCTGAGGCCAGACTTGCCCCTCAGTGAAGTGATGTGTTGAAGGGATTGTGTATGTGCTCAACTTCTCTGGAGGTCTTTCCTCAATAAACCCTATTTCTTGAATGTACTGTGGCTCCCTTAGAAATTGACATACAACCCATCCACCATATAGGGGAGCAGTCAATGTGAGCAGCTTTAGGAGTTGACCTAATTTGCAGAATATTTATCATATTTAAAAAATATCTCTCTGTGTTATAAATTATTTAATTGAAACCATGCCAGAGGGAAGGAACAAGGGTAAATATTCTGGTGTATGTGTATGTAGAGGGGAATGAAATTTACACATATATATAATCATAATTTTTTGCTCTGCTTCTGTAGACTTTTTTAAAAAAGAGAATAAAGTTTTCAGTCTGCTCTCAGGATCTTAGGATGTTTTTAAGGGTACTGTTCATTACATTATCCAGTAAGTAAGCTCTTTATGAAGACTCTTGAGGGTAACTTATTTCTGATCCAGGACTCAAGAGTTATTATGATTCTTCTTACTGGTTTTTTATCTTAAAGACAATGTATGTATAACTACATTGTCTTTAAGAATTGCCTATTAGAGTGTTTTAAAACCAAATTCATTGCCCACCCATACACAGCAGGGATGTAGGTGTCCAAGGCAGCAGGAGTCCTCACTCAAGATACTCCTGTGTTTATTTTCCCTTTATTTTTTCATCTACTTCAAATTTATCATCACGGTAGTATGCATCGCTTATAAACGTCTAGAAATGTTTTTTTGGAAAAAGGTAGCTAGCAGTATAAAAAAGTAAATGTCTTACCAAAAGCCATCAAAAACCGATTTTACCAGCTTCTTTTTTCTTCCCTTTCCAGATTGAGATGCTACCAGATGGGCTGTTTCAGTGCAAAAAGCTGCAATGTTTACTTTTGGGGAAAAATAGCTTGATGAATTTGTCCCCTCATGTGGGTGAGCTGTCAAACCTTACTCATCTGGAGCTCATTGGTAATTACCTGGAAACACTTCCTCCTGAGCTGGAAGGATGTCAGTCCCTAAAACGGAGCTGTCTGATTGTTGAGGAGAATTTGCTCAATACTCTTCCTCTCCCCGTAACAGAACGTTTACAGACATGCTTAGACAAATGTTGACTTAAAGAAAAGAGACCCATGTGTCAAAATCATTTTTAAAAGTATGCTCGGCCGGACGCAGTGGCTCATGCCTGTAATCCCAACACTCGGGAGGCCGAGGCGGGCAGATTGCCTAAGGTCAGGAGTTCAACACCAGTCTGGCCAATGTGGTGAAACCCCATCTCTACCAAAAATATTTTAAAAATTAGCCAGGCATGGTGGCACACACCTGTAATTGCAGCTACTTGGGAGGCTGAAGCAGGGGAATTGTTTGAACCAGGGAGGTGGAGATTGCAGTGAGCAGAGATCATGCTACTGCATTCCAGCCTGGGCAACAGAGCAAGACTCCATCTCAAAAAAAAAAAAAGCTTCAGGGCTTTAAATGAGAAGTAAAATTTTCTAAGTTAATAAAGATGAAGAATGAGTGACTATTATGATGAACCATAACTAAATGTCTTCTTAAAGCAACTCAGTGACTAGCCCTAAATTAACCAGGTAAAAAATGTTAACACTAACCTGAAGTTTTGTGAATAATTGTTCTTTAACTTATTGAGATGTTATAAGAAATGCACCTCGAGGGTAGAATGCGGACATGAAATGACTGAATTCCTCCTTGCAGTGTTCACCTTGAAAATTGCATAGGTATTCTCTCCTCTTCTTCCCCTAGTCCCAGTTACTTATTTGCACACTTGTTTGAACTGACTTCCTGTTTTGATATTTATCACCAAGACCATAAACTCATCAATATGAATTTTCTTGATGTCTACTCACCACTGTCTTTGATTTATGTTCTTCTTAAATTTTTTTAGTCAGGGTGTATTGTGCTTGGCAGAATTCCTTTTTGGCTTAATTTTTACTTCCTTTCCCAGATTGCTTGAGTCTTCCTTAATCTGATTTTCTCTTAATAACAATTATGAACCCTGAGAAAATGCTGGCATTTGGTCTTTGCCTAGCACAGGAGCCGAGTATTTAAGACATATGATCCTTGGGGCATCCTGAAAATTAATCTATTCCCTAAAAGTTCTTCTTGTCTATCATCAAGGCCTTTTCTTATGTGTTAAGAATTTTTATATTAAATGTAAAACATATAAATATTTTCTATTGTATAATCTTGGATTCAACATCTGTGAGGATAATTTTTGTATGATACATAGAATTTATGCATTTCTTTATGAACTTACTGTTAGTGTACTTGATTTTGGCTGTTTATAACTCTCATGTTTATGTACATTCTGCTCCAAAATGTTTTTGTACTCTGCAACTAATTACTTTGGATAACAAAAGCCTTGTGTTTAATGCCCTAAAGTATTTGGGAGTTTCCTTGTGAGAGAGTGGTCTCTACCTCTCTCTTCCCTAGTCGCTGTGCAATCCTACGGTACAATTCTTAATTACTTACAAAAACTGTGATAAGAGGGGAGAGGTGCAGATTTGGCTTTTAAGTTGATTTTAAAATACTTTGTGGAGAATAAGTAAGAGTTAAAGGAATCCATCTGCGTAATCTCTAGCTTGATAATAATGTAAAATAGCCTCTATTCAGTATCTAAATTGAGTTCTCAAAACCCACAAAGAAATAGATCCATTTAACTGAAATTCATCTCATGCCTTTATCTAACTCTTCTGGAAAATACATTTTGCTTCTTTTGATAAAGAGCTTTGTGTGTGGCCTTTTATTATCATGCATATTGTTAAATGAATAAAATCAACTGACTCATTTTGGGGAAATGTACATTTTTAGTGTGTTTTTCCCTAACACATTTGGTCTAGGCATTATGATGCCACCTCTTCATCTTGGATAGAACTATAAAGAAATCTATTGGCCGGGCGCGGTGGCTCAAGCCTGTAATCTCAGCACTTTGGGAGGCCGAGGCGGGTGGATCACGAGGTCAAGAGATCGAGACCGTCCTGGTCAATATGGTGAAACCCCGTCTCTACTAAAAATACAAAAAAAAAATTAGCTGGGCATGGTGGCACATGCCTGTAATCCGAGCTACTCAGGAGGCTGAGGCAGGAGAATTGCCTGAATCCAGGAGGCGGAGGTTGCGGTGAGCCAAGGTCGCGCCATTGCACTCCAGCCTGGGTAACAAGAGCGAAACTCTGTCTCAAAAAAAAAAAAAAAAGAAAGAAAGAAATCTATTAACTGCACTTAGACAAAACTGGAAAACATTATGGGCCAAGTGTACCATGTATATGGAATTGTGGTGTGTGGTATGTTTTCTCTTGCTTTGTTCCAGAAAGATGAAAGTGGAACTTTAAAGTAGAGCTTCCCTCACCCGCCACACTCTCCTGCACTAACATTCAGAGAAAAGATTTATTCAAATCAAATGAAATTTGAATAATTTAGCTATAAGGAATATAGGACACCAAACACGGCCTCACACATTATTGTTTATTCTGAATGGAAAGGAACAGTGTAAAAATAAACTACTTACCAAAACTTGCCTTTAGTCTGAACATTCAGGCTCTCAGGGAAGCAGGTGTAACTGATGAAACTGACTTCTAGGACTTCAGAAAACAGATTCTAGGACTTCAGAAAACAGATTCTAATTATATCCATGTTTTTTTGTTGTTTTCATTTTTTTAAATGTGAGTTGATGGTTATTTTAGTGTTTGACAATAGAATTATTGTGTATACTGATTCCAGTGTGGTATATGGTTAAGTTTTGGACATGGATATGCCAAAAGTGCTTAAGTGTTTTTGGCCACATAACTAGCTAGAATTTGTATGAAAAAATCTGACCCTCTTTTATAAGAAGAATTTTCAAAACAGCATTCAGATTTGCTACCGTTCACCTGACGAACTTCTCCATGGCTCATCACTGGTTTGGTTCAACTGCAAAAGTCATTGGCTGAATTTTCCTTATTGCCTACATAAATTTCTGGAGGAATTGACTAGCAGTTTAATAATGAATATTATAAGCTGCTTTCCACACACAAGGGTATAGTTATTGGTTCAATCTGTGTTGTTCCTGATGCCATGGTTTTACATCTTTTAATTTAAACCTCATATACCAGTGTTTAGGTAGCTTTTGAGACAAGGTAGCACTGATTACAAGGAACAATGAGGCTACGACCTCACATAAAAAATGTGGTGTTTATACCACCTTTACTGTACTGTTGGAGCAGATCTTTATTTTACAAGTGTTCGTATTCACTTAAGAGAATTTTAAATGAAGAAAATTAAGTTTGTTAAATTATGAGACTTTTGCTGGCATTTGATTTCCAAGAATACATATGCATTTTCCAAAATATAAATGTGGAGGTTATTCAGAACAAAATTCATGTCTTATGGTAGTACTGGCATGGGTTGATTTTATTTGCATGCACACACAGACACATACTTTATGTATGCAAATTATAACTTATTAGTTTTTTATATATCTAGTGTTTTTTTCCAAAATTACAAGAGGTTATAAGATTAAATACTAGGATAGCAAGTTTTTTAATCCATTAATCATGAAGTGCTCTATTTCCTAAGTTATGACATTTAAAAGAAACCACATGTTCAACCTTGATCTGAGAACCTAAGTGTTTCCAAACATTCCAGTAAAGGTGTGGTGTTCTTTTCCTAACCTACTTCAGGGTACATCTGTGTGGCACATAGATACTACTATATTTTCATTCTTCATTCTCAGTCTTAATTTCTTTCCCCTGTATGTATGTCACTGTATTTTATGTTACTTCACATTATGTTAAACAGGGTAAATAGAGATCTCAGTGCTGTGGCATAGCTCCAATAGGTGTGCTGTGGTGTGCTGCAGTGATGTATTTGCATAACATTGTTTGATAGTGAAAATTTTTTTTCTGTTCAAGTGTTTTGTGATTAAAATCTCATGTTTAATTAAAATATTGCATACTATTGATGGGTTAAAAAAAAACCATTAAAATAATCAAACAATTATTCTGTGGCCTTAACATTATTTTCTTGTGTTTTTCAGTGAAATTTTCTTTTCATCTTTCCATCTTCACATTCTCTTAGCATAATCCTATGCACATAAGGTATCTTGTTTTTCTTCCCCACTCACCAACCACACTAAATTGGATCAGCACTTGTACAGTGACAGTATATTTGTGCTAGAAGATGTGCAATGATACTTGAGCATGTATTTATTTAGGAGGAAGCCACTGCCTATAATTATGCCTCATTGAGTAGTTTTACTTTACCCAGCCTGCAGTATTTAGAACTGATCTCTACCAACAGCAGGACAATGTCATGTAGATCTGCTTTTTCAGTAACTATTGCATCAGAATCTACGTTTCTTTCTTTCTGGAAACAGAAAAACTGGTGGGAGAGGGAAGGAGTTATTTTGTATCCTGGTTTGTATTATTAAGTCATTATATATATATATATATATATATATATATATATATATATATATATACACACACACACATACATACATACTAGTAACTTGGAGAATGCCTTCAGATATAATTATTTCTTTTCAGCTGGATATGAAAAGATGAAGCAGTGAAAACCTGCGGTCCTGTTTAATCAGTTTCCTTCTGTTTCTTGTCCATCACTTCTGTATCCACAGGGAGCTATCTACTATATACATTTGGTAACAGACTACATTCTCTTCAAATTTTTTATTTGAATCATTTCATCAGCACTAAAGCATTAATGTAAAATAATGAGCCAAAGTACTGAGTTCAGATGGCTTTCAGTTGAGCATAATTTCATATTTAACTTTTGCATTTGAGTTGTATAATACACTACTGCTGAAAAAAACAATTATGAATGCCTTCTGCATGTTGTACATTATCTCTAACAGAGCTGGTGCAATTTTAAGAATACAAAGGGGCATAGAGTTAGAATGGATGTGTTTGTGCATATATATGTTGTGTTTAAGCTTAAATATTAATGTTTACAAGAAGATTTTTAAAAATTCATCAAACATTTCACTCAGTGAAATAAAGGGCCAGTCTGGAGTAGAGACATTTTCTGTTGTTAGTCCAAGAGTGAAAGCTAGCATTTGTTATCTGTCACATATTTAGAGATGTGTGCAATTGGTTTTTGCTGCTGGTAATGAATTATTAAAAAATGGAAGATTTTGTTCAATGTTTTTGGCCCTCAGGTTTACCGTGTAAATCTGCATTTTGGTGGTAAATCCCTTTGCCTCAGATTCAGTAGCTTTTGGTAAACTTCACTGTTTTTAAAGTACCTTTTATGTAAAATAAAGATTCAATTTTTTATAGCAAATGGCAAATAAAAACACTAAATGCTGGAAGAAGTTGACTGTACTAATTTTTCAAGTTTCAAAAGTGACTCCTTTTCTCTTTTCATGCTTCCTGTACAGTCGTACTGTTACATTATTCACCAAGTGATGTATTTCAGATTCACA